AATGCAGTGGCAGAAAATGCATTAACAGCCAGTATCACTATRTATTTGCAGAAATTTTCATCATCTCAAACAGCAACTCTCTATCCATTAAAAAACTTACTATTCCCTTCCTCCCTTCCCTTGGTAACCTCTATCCACTTTCTGTCCCAATGAACTTGACTACTGCAGGTACGTTATATAAATGGAATCCTACAATATTTGTCCTTTTAAGGCTGGCTTATGTCACTTTCCATAATGTTTTCAAGATTCACTTTTAATACCACTTTTTTTTTTGACCCATGTGGTAACATCTATTGGCTGATTAATTTTTCATTATACTATATGCTTCATTTTGTTTATTGATTTAAACCAATTTGTAAAAGGAAATACCTAGCTGGGTATGGTGGCATACCCCTATAATCTCAGCTACTTTGAAGGCAGGAGGATTTGTAAATTCAAGGCCAGCCTTCCCAATTTAGTGAGAACCTGTCTCATAATAAAAAATAAAAACTCATGGTGGCACACACCTCTAATCCCAGGGGCTTCGGAGGCTGAAGCAGGAGGATCTCAGGTTCAAAACCAGCCTCAACAATAGCAAGGCCCTAAGCAACTTAGTGACACCCTGTCTCAAAAAATAAATAAACAAACAAATAAATAAATAAAAGAACTGGGAAGGGGGTTGGGGTTGTGGCTTAGTGGCAGAGCACTTGCCTCCCATGCCCTGCATTTGATCCTCAGCACCACAAACATGAATAAATAAAATAAAGGTATTGTGTTCATCTACAAGGACTGGGCATGTGAGGGTGAGGTTAAGTACCCCTGGGTTCAATCCCTGATACCAAAAAAAAAAAAAAAAAGAGTTAATTGGTAAGTGTTTATTATAAGATTGAAACTTGTGTTGAAGGGCTCTAAGGAGATTATAGCATGAGTCCTGGATTGATGCAGTTCAGAAGCAAGGGTAATTTGGTGATTCAGTAAAGCTTTGGTAATTTTTATGTAGAGGGCCATAGGGTTAAGGTGGGTCTAGAGATTTGTGATTGGTAAAGGAACTGCAGTCATTTATACTATATTAATAATTTTATGGTTTTAGGGTGGCCTTGACTATCTTTCTCAATTGCAGTTGCAGAACAGGCTTCTCTAACTATTTTTTCTATCCTCTGAGAATATTTTTTGTTAGGAACAATAGAGCCTAGCTGTCAGCAACTTAGGTTATCTTTTTACTTGCAATTCCCCATTTTACTAAAGAGCAGCCCGTGAGACATATTCTGTGAAATTCCATTTCATTATCAAGAGTTCCTTGATCAGAAGGGCATGTAGAAAAAAGAGAGAGAGAAAAAAGAAAGTTTAGAGAGAATATCCTCTGTTGCTTAATTCAAATCAATACTTCATAGTCCTTTTGTTGAAAATGAGCTATTAAATCATCAGATGTAACAATGAATACTTAATATCCTCATTTATTTGTTTCCTGGAATCTTTTTAATGGTATTAAAAGCCCAGAGAAATCTGTAAGGATGTAATTATAACATTTTTCTTTTAAGGCAGCGTATGTTCTACCTTGAAAAACTAATGTTATATCCACACTCTACAAGTTTATGCCATTTAAGTTTATAACAGAAGTTGCTAAAGTCCTTTCCATTAAGGTTATTCTTTAATTTTCTCCAGAACTTAAAAACTCCTTGTCTAAGATCATGGAGAACCTAATTAGGTGGCTGGTGAGGACAGTGTCAGTTCATACCTGTTGGTTAATTGGTGATAAAACTAAACTGGCTAAGCTATGGATCCAACCTAGGTGCCCTTCAACAGATGAATGGATAAGGAAAATGTGGTATATATACACAATGGACTATTACTCAGCCATAAAGAAGAATGAAATTATGGCATTTGCTGGTAAATGGATGTATCTGGAGACTATCATGCTAAGTGGAACACTTAAATATGTACATTTAAGTGTTTACATTTTCAAATTTTGTTGCTAGTGTATATTGTGTGCTGATCTTATATCATGCAAATTTGCTGGATTTGTTTATTAGATCTAATATTTTTTTGTGGATTGTTTAAGATTTCTATATCTTTGTGTATGTGTGTGGGGGGAAGTTTTGGGACTTGAACCCAGAGACCTTTATCATTGAGTCACATCCAACATCCTTCCCCACCCCCAACGTCCTTTTTATTTTATTTTGAGACAGGATCTTCCTAAGTTGCTAAGGCTGGCTTCAAACTTGTGATCCTTCTGCCTCAGCCTCTTGAGTCACTGAAKATTTCTATATACTAAACATGTGAAATAAGGTCATGTCTTCTGTGAATAAAGATAATTTTGTCTTCTTTTAATTTGGAGACAAGATATGAAAATTAGCCATAAGTATCAAAAACAGTTATAATAGACATTTTGAAAACACAGCAATCAGAAACAATGTTGGTAAGTATAGATCTAACAGGCCAAAGCAGATAGCCAAGGTATTCATGTACAGAATACTGTGGGAGTTCCGATCAGAAACAGCCAAGTCAGATTGCAAACCAAGGAAGACCTAAGAGTTGGTGCTTCAACTGAGTCACTGAGAGTAAAATCTAGCTGGAGGTAGGAGGAGAATATATACTAAATTATAAATAASTTAGACTAGTAGTTTAATCGCAAAGGAAGGAATACAAATCAGTAGATAATACAGGAAAAGAATCTTACATGGATTGGATTGGGTGGGAATGGAAGGTGGTTTTTAAAATTCAGGTACAATTGAAATAGACAGTGGGAAGAATTGAAATCACAGGTGAAGACACAAATTGGGAGAAGATAAGTAGCAATTTTGGTGGCTGCAGAGCTCATGGAAGGGAATAGTGTTAAATATATTTATATGTCTCTGAAGATAGGTAGGTTAACCTCAGTCTGCATTAATTTTCAAAACTAGGCTAAGTGAACTGGATCAACAGGGATGTTCAGTGGGGAAAGTGAAGGATGACACAGGAGTGGACATTGGAGTGAGAAAAGGCGAAAGGAGACTTACTTCATCTCTCCTCTTTGAACCTCCAGTTATTGCATGAAAAATGGGCAAGATAAACTGTACTTATAACGAAACAGATGAATAAACCTGTCTTATAACCAAACAGATGAATAAACATATTGATGAATACTTGGTGCAATGTTCTTGAATAGTACTTCTCAAAGTACTGTTCAATCTGGTTTAGGAATTTCTGTGGTTTCTTATTATCTTTTTGGAAGTTTCTTAATATTTAGAATGTGATAATGTTCAGTTTTTTGATATCCTTTGTGAATTACCATAGTTAAGGCAAATACCACGTCAAAATTTGATGGATTAATGATGATATTTTTGAAAATTAATTTTTTTACATTGTTGGGGATTGGGTTTAGGGCCTTGTACATTCAAAGCACTTGCTCACCCATGAGTTACCTTCCCAGCACTCTGAAATTATTTTTAACTATATAAGTAATATATGAACATATTTAAAAAAATTTTTTTTAGTTATAGATGGACACAATATCTTCATTTCATTTTTATGTGGGGCTGAGGATCGAACCCAGTGCCTAATGCTTGCCAGGTGAGCACACTACCACTTGACCACATCCCCAGCCCCTGGACACAATATCTTTATTATTTACCTTTACATGGCGCTGAGGGTTGAACCCAGGGCTTCACTTGTGCAAGGCAAACACTCTACCACTGAGCCAGCCCCTACATGAACATATTATTATCATAAACAATGAAAATATAGCCAGTAGTTCCAGAGACTTGGGAACTGAGGCAGGAGGACTGCAAGTTCAAGGCCAGCCTCAGCAACTTAAAACACTCAGGGGCTACACACTCCAGCAGATGTTCAGAATACAGGAAAATGGGCAGGAGAATCATGACCATGTGTTTCTGGAGGTATAAAGTGGCTTTGTTATTTTGTAGCCTCTCCTGGAAACAGGAATAGTCTGTAGAGATGGGCAAGTAGTCCCAGAAGTAGGGATGAGCAGAGTCAAGGGCACAGACTTTATGTTGCCTGGCTTCTGGATTTCAAGAAACTTGGTGTTGACGATAACGTTAGGCACCCAGGGCAATGTAGTAGTGATGGAAGGCAGAGCTCACCGGTATGATGGATAATGTACATGAGGAGAATAGGCTAAGTGCTGAGCCTGGAGAAGAAAAACCAGCCAAACCCGTTTTAAACCATGTGGACCCCTTGGGAAGATTGTCCTCAGCATCTGGCTTAGACCTCAAATTCCCACAGACCGACAAGTGGATTGTTATTTATTTATTGTTTCTGGTTTTTTTTTTTTTTTTTTTGTTTCTGGGGATTGATCCCAGGGTCATTTTTGTTTTTTGTTTCTGGGGATTGATTCCAGGGCCTCCCACAAGGAAACCATGCTGTATAACTGAGCTACACTCCCATCCCCTTATTGGTGTATTTTCTTTTTCTTTTCGTTTGTTCTTTTAAACACATGGCCTTGCTGTGTTTCCTAGGCTGGCCTTGAACTCCTGAGTGGGACCATAGGCACCTGCCCCAGTGTGGTTTATACTATTTTTTTGTTTGTTTGTTTTTCAACAGTGGGGATTAAACTCTGGGTGTCATGCATGCTAGACAAGCAATCTATCACCGGGTTACATCATCAGGCCTTTAAAAATTTATTTTAAGAGAGGGTCTCCCTAAGAAGCATAGACTAGTCTTGAGTTTGCGATGCTCCTGCCTCAGCCTCCTGAATAGCTGAGATAATGGCGTAGTTATCAAAGTAAGAATCATGTAAATAGACTTCCAAGGTGGCTGTACCGATTTAAATCAATGTGCTCACCAGTGTAATTATCTGTAATAACTGCTTATTTTGCAGAGACAGTATTCCCCAAAAGGATTGTAGGCCCCCAAACACATGCCCTGTCTCCAGTCCTGTCCCCGCCCACTTCCCAGGCACTAGCTTAGGCCCTACCCCTTCCGCCCGGTGGTCCCGCCTCTGGGCGGTACCTCCTTTCCCAGGGCTAGTAGCGAGAGGGGCGTGGTGGCCGGCCGTGACGTCACTGCCGGCCGGACGCCATCTTGCTGGTTTGCGGAGGGACTTGGATGTAGCGGCKTCGGTGGTGAGGGCGTGGGGAAGGGTGGGGTGAGGGGGCGAGGCCGCGACGAGCGCGGCGAAACTCTCCTCCCCTTGGCCCTACCGCGTGGGACGGCGTGAACGCGGTTTTGGAGGGATGTCCGCCTTCTCTGAGGCGGCGCTGGAGAAGAAGCTGTCGGAGTTGAGCAACTCGCAGCAGAGCGTGCAGACCTTGTCCCTGTGGCTCATCCACCACCGCAAGCACTCGCGGCCCATCGTCACCGTGTGGGAGCGGGAGCTGCGGAAAGGTGAGTCTCCTGCGCCTCTTGGCTTCCCTGGCGCTCCGKGGATCCCCTATCCCCCTTCCCCGGTGCCCGGCTCCCAAGAGGGCCCCTACTCGGGCCCCGCCGACTCCGACTTCGGGAGATCTGTCTTCGTGCCCTCGCGCGGTGGTCCGCGAGCTTGTAGGTGCAGCGTGCATCGCGCTTCCTGCAAAGTCCGCGCTTAGTACCTATTTATTGAATAAAGAAGGGAATGATACTTTTAAAAAATTCGACTAATTTAATGCAGGTACAGCAGTAGGGGCTCGAGACTCTGCACCCAGCTGGGGCCAGAAACTCAGGCAGTCGGTATTCCTTTTTTTTTCCCCCCTGAAGTTATAATATAGGATGGGGAGGGAAATGGAAAGGAAAATATTGGTGTGAGCTTGGGAATTGGTTCCATAATTTCTAGAACCCAAGTCTTGTAAAATTAATAGATCAATTTTAGAACTGGGAGTCTAAAATAAGAAGACGCGTGATGCAGTAAAAAGAACCCTGACTTTGTAGATTTTTTTTAGAGGATATGGGTTGGTAAATTTCTTTTAACCTCTGTTATTGTAGATAATTCATCTGAAAGTGAAAAAGTTAGAGCTAATGATCTAAAGGCTGTTTTTGCTTTATGAGTATATGCTTCTAGTGCAGTGTCTTTGTTTTGTAGAATATTTGACAGTGTTCTTGTAACCGTAGTAAACTTTTTTGAGCAGATGTCTTGCTGAAATATCCAAAATCATTTCACTTATGCAGAGCACCTTTGTGAAAAACAGTTTATGTTAGTGCCAACGGAAAAGAAAAAATTCCACTTTTCCACTTGCTTAGTCTGAGTTTGTATCTTTATTCTTAATTCATTGGGTTGAGTGGGCACTTTTCTTTATTGTTTCAGACATCCTGATGGACATGATGATTATTAAGTGTGAAGAGTCTTAACAAACATTAATCAAAATAGATGCTTACTAACTAACTCATATGAAAGCTAAAATATGGTGGTGACTGTGTAGAATGGAGACCGCCTGTGCTTGTCTTGTATATTGCTGTGGTTAAGGAAATGTCATCCCTTAGAAGAAATTTGAGTTGCAGCCCTGTTTTTCAGTTTATGTAGACATGTATGTGTATTGACTTTGAAGGAGGAATTCACCTATGAGTGGACAAAAACGTTTGCAAAACACTGATATGAAGGTCTTCAAAGTAACTGTGAACTTGAGAAGTCAGGAATTGACTTTGTTTCTGCACTATTAGGTTTCAAAATCAGCACCTGGTTTATCCTTTTGGGGGCTGGGGGAGAGTATGTAGAAACACCTACAACCAATAAAGTATTAATGCCCAGACTACCTTAAGAACTGTTAAAAATTAATAGAAAAATGACAGTACTGTTTTTAAACTTTTCAGGAGGAAACCTGAATGCCAACAAATGATACTTAGTAATGAGGAAAAAATAAACCAGCAAGATATCATTTTATGTTCATCAGTTTGGCAAAATTAAAATGAATGACAGTATCAGGAACTGCTGAGGATGAACAGTAACTCTTTTTTTTTTTTTTTTTTTTTTGGTACTAGATATTGAACCAAGAGTTGCTTTACCATTGAGCCACTTCCCAGTCCTTTTTATTTTGAGACAGGACCTCACTTTTAGTTGTGGAGGCTGGCCCCAAACATGAACATCAGATCCTCCTGTCTTAGCCTCTTAGGTTGCTGGGATTACAGTTGTGGGCCACCACACCCAGTGAGAAACAGTAACGCTTAACACTGCTTGGTGGAAATGCAAAAAGGTAAAATAATTCTGGAGGTCAATTTAATAACCTTTAATGAAATTGAAGGTGTATACCCTTTAACTTAGCAGTTCTCCTTCTAGGAATATATCCTAGAAATGAGTACATGCTACAGAATTGTTTTATTGCAGCTTTGTAACAAAAATGGAAACAATTTGAACATTCCATTAAAGAATGAGCAACCATATTTTTATATTCATATAGTATAATGCTGTCCAACAGTTTTCATAAATGAACTAGAGCTACATGAAAGAACATGACTGAATTAAGAAACAACAAACAAAATCTTGAGCTAAGAAAACATTAGGTATAGACCAGAATGCCATTTGGTAAAGTTTAGACACATGTAAGAATGATACTCTTTTTTGTTTACATATAGCTGTAGATATAGTTAAATCATGAATAGCAGTGTTTAACACTATATTCCAAGATAGTAATTGTCATAGGAAGAGAGGAAATGCAATGGGATTTGTGCTATCTAATATTTCATATGTTTTAAAACAAGCCCATCACAGTATTGCATCTCCCAGTTACTTGGGAGATTGAGAAAAGAGGATCACGAGTTCAAGGCTAATCTTGGCAACTAAAGACCCTGTCTCAAAATAAAAATAAAAAGGATTGTATCTGTAAACTTTGAAAAGTCAAGAATTTGCATTGTATTGGGACTGGGGATATAGCTCAGTTGGTAGAGTGCTTGTCTTGCATGCACAAAGCCCTGGGTTCAATCCCCAGCACCACCAAAAAAAAAAAAAAAAAAAGAAAAGAAAAGAAAAAGAATTTACATTGTAGTGATACTGTGCTTACCTAATATGTGAAGTCCTGGATTCAATTCCAATACCACAGAACGTTTTAAAAAGGTACAAATATGTGAAAATGATAAAATGTGCTGTTAACTGAGTTTAAGGATGTTTCCATTTAAAAAAAAAATCCTTCATAATTAGGGGAAAAAAAAGGCATATCAATAGATGCTTTAGGAAGAGCGATGATGGTGAATGTAGTGGTGGTGGTGGTGGTGGTGAACATACTGCTGCTGCAATTCTTATATTGGTCTGAATTAGCCTACCAAGAGTTTCCTTTCCTTGACAGTGACTACCTTTGCAGGGTACTTTTTGTGTCCTTTCACCTCCTTGCAGTTTTGTTTTTCAATTTCAACATCCTAGTCTCATGTAGCACAATGATAATGGCAATCACATACTGATTGTGGACTTGGAAACTACCACTTTATATTATGTTGTAGACTGGGGGTGTGTGTCATGTTGGTTATGAAGTAAGGTAGTGGGCTTTGTGTTGTTTTCTTATTTCAATTTTTAGCTTTCTTAGCCCCAGCAGACTACTTTTGTTGAAAGTTCTTGGGTATTTGTTGAATTCATATTCACTAATGTTATAGGTTAGATGCTGGTTTTTATGTACTGTACATATCTAAAAAAAATTTTTTTTGTAGTTGTAGATAAACAAAATGCCTTTATTTTATTTGTTTCATTTCTATGTGGTTCTAAGGATTGAACCCAGTGCCTCACACATGGGAGGCAAGTGCTCTGCCACTGAGCTACTGACCCAGCCCTGTACTGTGTGTGTGTGTGTGTGTGTGTGTGTGTGTGTGTGTATTTATTTATTTAATAAAATATTTGGTTTTTAGTTGTAGTTGGACACAATATTTTATTTATTCATTTTTATGTGGTTCTGAGGATTGAACCCTGGACCTCGAAAGTCCTAGGCAAGCGCTCTACTGATGAGCAATCCCAGCCCCAATACCTTTGTTTTATTTATTTATTTTTCTGTGGTACTAAAGATCCAACGCAGGGCATCCCACATGCTAGGCAAGCATTCTACCTCTGTACTGTATATTTTTAACTGCTTTATTTTATTTGGTTTTAGAAAGTAGAAAGTTAAAGAATATTTGTCAGTTGCTTTAAAAACATATAGCAATATAAATCATTGAAATGGAGATTCTGAWTTGATAATTCCATGGCTTCTATACTGATACTGTTACTTCTTTCTCTTTTAGAGTTAGAGTTGAACAAGTAGACAATGTTTATATTTTCTTTCTAAGTTTTTATACTTAAAAGGATTTTGTTTTCAAGCTGACTTTATAAACTTAATCATATTTTCTGCATCTTTGAAGATAATTGTCAAATTATATTTTGGTTTGTATATTTTTTTTTACTTTCTTTTTAAAGGTTTTTCACATTCCTTTCCATTAATTAGATTTGTAGTATAAAGTGATTTTTGTAACATTTTGATGGCAGGTTTAAATTATCAGCCAGTAGGCTGATTAAAAAACAAATTATTATTATAAAAGATGTCAAACAGGTATAAATTCCCATTGTAGTCATTGCCTAGCTTTCACGATTTTAACCTTTAACATCTGAAAAAATTTAGTTTTTAAAAATATTATCAGATATTCAAAAAGCATTTTTTTCCTTATTATTTTGTTCTTTTTTTTTTTTTTTAGCCATTTGTTTGATTCAGGATCCAAATAGCTTCCTTATTGCAATTTATTACCATATTCCTTAAATCTATTTACATTTATGTTTTCTCCTTTTTTTTTTTAAAGAGAGAGTGAGAGAGGAGAGAGAGAGAGAGAGAGAGAGAGAGAGAGAGAGAGAGAGATTTTTTTTTAGTATTTATTTTCCAGTTATCGGTGGACACAACATCTTTGTTGGTATGTGGTGCTGAGGATCGAACCCAGGCCGCACGCATGCCAGTCGAGTGCGCTACCGCTTGAGCCACATCCCCAGCCTCTCCTTTTCATTTTAAATTTATTCATTGAAAAAAGATCAAATTGGTTATCTCATCGAAATTTCCAGTCTAGGAATTTCTGAGGCTTTCTGGTTTGAGGATTCCTTTACTTTTAAAAATTGTTATGAAGTTAGGCATGGTGATACACACTTGTAATCTAAGCTACTTGAGAGGCTGGGGTAGGATCACAAGTTTAAATTGCCTGGGCAATTTACTGGGATCCTGCCTCAAAATAAAGAAGGGCTAGGACTGTAGCTCAGTGATAAAATGCTTGCCTAGCATGCATGAGAACCTGGATTCATTTCCCAGCACTGGGAGAAAAAAAAATATTGAGCACTTCAAGTCTTTTTTTTTTTTTTTTAATGTGGATTAAATCTATTGGTAATTGCTGTATTAGAAATTAAAACATTTAAAATAGTTACTAATTATTTAACTTATTAGAAATGACAATACTAAATTGATCAGGTTAACAAAATAACATTATGA